CCCTTCTCTTCCATCCTCCTCTCAGGATTTTGGGCATGCACGCACACACATCCAGCATGAGTTTTAAGCCACCAGGTCTGGGACTCGAATGGCAGTTGACTATGTGGGAGTCCAGCAATGTAACCCATTATACCATCTGCTGGTCCCAGTTCAGATGTATTTTTAATGGTAGCTCTTTCTCAATAAGATATGTCTTTATGCAATTATACAATCATTAAATGTTAGACACAAGTTTGTGGTTTGAAGCAATGTAATTTAGAAGAGCTTTGGCTTTGGTGTCAGCTCAGATTATGTGAGAATCCCTAGTCTAGCAAGCATGGTGGGTGAGCTACTTGATCTCTCTTTAAGTTTCAGTCTTTCTTTCACATACCCACACACACACACACACACACACACACACACAACACACACACACACACACACACACACACATATATATGTATATATATATATATATGTATATATGTATATAAATTTTTTTTTATTTAATTCCATTTGTTATTATTATTTGTTTAATTTGACCAGACAGAGACAAAGAAGGAGAGAGAAAGGGAAAGCAAGCCGCCAGTCCAGGATTCAACTGTGGTCGGCCATGTGGGAATTCAGCACCTTTATTGACCACGCCACCTGCTCGCCCCTTCATTCTTTCTTTCTAAAATTGGAAAAATAATAATAGTTGCCTCATAAGGTTTTTATGAACACTAGATAAATTAATCTATGTAGAGTACTGGGTCAAATTAACACATATAGTTCCTTATGTCATTATCATCTTCCTCATCATCATCCTCATTTTTAAGTAGGCCCGGGAGCTCTTTCTTATCAACTAGGAAGATGGAGTGACCATAGTTTTCTTTTGTTCTGACATAACTGGACAATACAGTGCTTGGATCATGAAATTCAGTGGTTTACTGTCCCACTTGTAAAATAAGCACTGTATTTTTTTCATTAGGAAGAAGACATTGAAATTGGAGAATAGAGTTGCATGCACTTTGAAAGTAGCAGAATATTAGTAGAAGAGATTATTTATTGATAAATATAGGTAGATATTGACAATTTTACTATATTTTTTGGAGAATCTTTTAAATTTTTATATAGGTAAGTTTATATTAAGAGATGAGTAGTATTTTAGTTATCAGGATGTTGTAAACATGATAAATTACAAATATTTGTTGAACAAAAGTAATTTTTTTAGACAATATGTAAATCTTATAGTAAGATAGGCTAAACGTAAATAACAGATTTCCATTTTTAATGAATAGCAATTGCTTATTTAAAAGTGAGTTTACTGGGATACATTTTTATTAAATTGTCTTAAAAAAATCTATTTTTGCAGGTGGTTGTACCCAGAAGCCCTTTCCAAGCCAAGGGACTTCTTTTGTCATGCATAGAGGATAAAAATCCTTGTATATTTTTTGAACCTAAAATACTTTACAGGGCAGCAGGTAAAGGTTTCTTTTATTTTATATTTGTGAATATCTTTATATACTTTGTTTTTCACCACTTAAGCTTGATTTATATTTTTCTTGTAGAAATGATTCTAATTGATTTCTTTTGTATTTAAATTTGTAGGTATAAATTTTATGTTTAGGGAAATTGTATCCAACTATTTTATCTTGTGATACTGGAAACAAAAAAACCAGTGTGAAACAGTAGCAAAAATAAAGTGACTATGTCTTAACTACATATTAGGTGCCTAGTAAATGTGGGTCTAATGGAAGAGAAATGAGCTTAGAATTACTACATTAGAACCTTCGGGAGCAAGGCCCTGCCCTGTGTTGGTTGCCCTCCTGGCGACTCTGATCCATACAAAAGTTTGAGAACCGCTGCCTTAGGGCAGCTGATGAAATATTGGTCATCGGTGTTTTTCTATGCTAAAATGTGCCATGACTTTTCTGACAGCCCAATAATTGGTGTTCCTTATCTCCATTGATCATATTTTATTCTTAGTTCCTGTAGAATGGAGAATGCTTTTGACTCATGGATTTCTTAGGCTTGACCTGCAGTTAATATCAATGTTACAACTGATTCTGTTTTGGTTTCTAGTCTCTTTTTGGCTCTGAATGTTCTGACACTGATTTCTTTTTGTAAATAACAGAGAGCAAGTGAGCGAGTGAGAGGGAGAGATTACTTTTTGATTGAGTTTTGACAGGATTTCACTGTATCTCAATCTTGCTCAGCCTCTTACGACTGCAACTGAGCCTGGGCTGTTCAGGTTGGACCGGAGGAAACGAGGCCTCCCCTGTGGCCTCAAACTCCAAGTAGTAGCATTTTAGCAATATGTGTCATTGCAGTTAAGCCTGGTAGTTCTTTAATCACTGCTTACATTCAGCCCATGGTTCTCTAGTCCTATCTGTTAATCTCTCAGCTCCATTTTATAGTCTAAGGTATTGTTTTATACTGGTGAAGTGAATTCCTAACTTTACAGTTGTTTGGAGTGATATAAAAGGACTGGGACTTTTTTGGGTAAAGAATTATTTTATTTAACTTTATTTATTTTAATTTTACCAGAGAGGGACAGAATGCGGGGGTTGGGGGGAGTGAGAAAGCAAGCTGCCAACTCAAACCACAGCTGGCCCCCTGGGGGTCCAGCACCTTTAATGACCATACCACCTGCTTGGCCTGGGGCTGGAACACCTTCATTCAGGAATCTGAGAAGCCTTATGTAAGATATTTTGTATTGAAAGAATAAAAGAGACAAGATATTTAGGTTCATTTTAAAACCAGAACAGTCTGATAATTTCTAACTGCCAGTAATAGGAAGATTATAGTATCCACACATGAAGATTTAATGTATTGACTTATTTTCCTGTATTTTTTCTTCTTGAATTTCTAGCATACATTTGGAAACTGTTGAAACAGACTGGACTAAAATACAAATATTTATATTTAATACTTTTGTTTCCTTATTCTTAAATTTTTCATATAGGACATGTGCGCTTGCCAGAGAGACAGAGACATAGAGACAGAAAGAAAGCAAGAAATCATTCCCTTGAGTGGATGGCCATGCTGCAATCCTTTCTTTTAATCTCATTTTAAGTTTATCCTTACTAGATTTCAGTCTCCTATGGATTTTACTAATAGGTAATTTTGAGTAATATAAAAATATAATTTCAGTGAGAGAAAAGAGGTTTCTCTCTCTCTTTTTAAAAGTTGCCAGGACGGGGAACCAGCAGTTAGCGTAATGGCTATGTTGCTGGACTCCCACATAGTTGACTGCGGTTCGCGTCCTGGACCCGGTGGCTTAGAACTCATGCCGGGCGCGTGCGTGTGCATGCCCAATATCCCAAGAGGAGAATGGAGGAGAAGGGATTGCGGTGTGACCATCCCCCCTGGGGGGGGGGTGTGGAATTTCTCACTTTCTGTCTCTATGTCTCTCTCTGTCTGCCTGGCGAGCGCACGCGCCCTATAGCGAAAACCTCTCAAAAAAAAAAAAAAAAGTTGCCAGGATGTGCATGTATTTGTCAAGAGAAACCAAGAGAAGAGAAAGTACTTCCTACCCCAGTAGGTTATGGTAGTGCCACAGTCCGTTTTCCTTCCTTTCTCCATTTCATGATTTGGGGCATAATAGCACACATACCTGGCCTGTTTTCAAGCCATTGGGACTGAGACTCAAACTCTGTTCAGCCATGTGGGATCTGGCCCCTGTAAGCACTGAGCTACAGTGCTGGCCCAGTGCTTCTCTTTTAAAATAAAAATATTCTCAGTTGGATTAGCACAATAAACTTCAGCCTTTCATAACTTAATACAGATACTACCTTTGTCCTAATAACTGAATTAGGACACCCATCTACTTCTTAAGGTTGCTGAGAGGATTAAATGAGATGATCCATGTGTGTTATCTATTGATACCTGGTTTTTGAGCACTTATGTGGTCTGTATAGTGCTATATTATGTAGACATATGGATTATTTCATTTAATCTTCACAACACCCTTATCAGGTAAATTCTGTCATTATTACCATTTTATGGATCAAGATCCTTAGAATCAGGGAAGTTAAGCAACTTCTCAGTCACATAGCTGGGATTCAAACTTGGAGTCTGTCTCTGGAGTTGAGCACATTTGGAATAGATTGTTGTGGTTACTCTTCACAGCTGCCCCAGGATGTGGTGCTATTCTCTTTTACAGATAAGAAAACCATACCTCAGTGACTTAAGATGACTTACTCAAGCACAGAGGAAATAAGTGATAGAGTTTTTTTTCTTTTTTTTTAATTTAAATTTATTTATTTGCATTCATTGACTGTATATCATTACAGCATACAAAATGAGATTTTCCATCCAGAGTACACTTTATATTGTCTCAATCAAGCACATCAACAAACATGTTATTGTCAGCAAATAATTTTCCATTTCTTGTTTTCTGTATGTTTTGCTTTTTTTCCCCATCCTTGATTCCCTATCTCTTACCCTCTGCCATCTCCCACCCTCTTCCCACACTGTCTCTGGTATCAATGTTTGCTTTCTATATAGTGTTTTCCCCCACATTTTTTTGAATTACTAAAGACCTTAATTAATCTAAATATTTTCATAGCAAACACAGGCGATATATACATTTCCATGAACATGAGTCTAACTTTAGGCATCCTATAAAGTAGCACCTAGCTAGGGCTATATATCTTACTGCAGTCATTGAATAGATATTTTTTTCTGAAATTTTTTTTTTTGTAACTTAATTTACATTCTTTCCCTAAGCATCATTACAGCATACAAAATGTGATTTCCCATCCAGAATATACTGCATAGTAACTTAATCATGCATATTATTATAAAAAATTT